GTAATTACAGAGTGCTGTTCAGGGTGTAATTACAGAGTGCTGTTGGGGGGGTAATTACAGAGTGCTGTTGGGGGTTATTTGCATTGGGCTAGCAGTGGGAGTAATCTCAGAACTGCTTGTCAGACTGGGAGGTGGTAATCAGAGAGTAATGTTGTGGCAGTTTAGTTACCCCACTGATTTAAGAGGGGTAATTCTTTGGGAGAGAGTTGCAGGACACAACACAGCCTCAATGAAGGAACAGTTGGTACATTCTGAAGTCGAAGGGATCTGTCACATTTCGGGGAACCTAGAGGTGAGTAGCTTCTCCTGTGTACCTGCTGTCCTCGCTGAATTAGCTAATGGTGTTCATGATTCTGGCACATCGGATAATATTCGAGCGAATATTGAGGAAACCGAAACTAGACTGCGTACCATCTGTCGGTACTTTCCCGTCGCTGATCGACAGATTCTGTTTCTGTAACAGGAGATCCTCAGCTCGCCGCTCCAGCTCCGAGCCCCCACATTCCCGTCTCATATAAAGCACCAGGCGCTGCAGCGACTCACGATCCAGGCCTTGGAAATCTTCGGAATACTGTTCCAGCCACGTGGAGAATACAGACGAGGCCGCACTGCAACATGAAGGCAGGGCAGTTAGGAGAAGTATCACAGCCCGACTGGACCTTGATCAGATGGGCCGATGGGCCGAGGAGCGGCAGATGGAGTTTAATTTAGATAAATGTCAGGGGTTTCATTTTGGAAAAGCAAATCAGGGCAGGAATGATAAGGTCCTGAGGAGTGCTGCCGAACAAAGAGACCTTGGAATGCAGGTTCATAGCTCCTTGAAAGTGGAGTCACAGATAGACAGGGTAGTGAAGAAGGCATTTGGTATACTTGCTTTTACTGGTCGGTGCATTGAGTACAGGAGTTGGGAGGTGATGTTGTAGCTGTACAGGATATTAGTCAGGCCACTTTTGGAATACTGTGTTCAATTCTGGTCTCCCTACTATAGGAAGGATGTTGTGAAATTCGAAAGGGTTCAGAAAAGATGGACAAGGATGTTGCCAGGATTGGAAGGTTTGACCTATAGGGAGAGGGTGAATAGCCTGGGGCTATTTTCCCTGGAGCATTGGAGGCTGAGGGGTGACCTTATAGAGGTTAATAAAATCGTGAGGGGCATGGATAGGGTGAATAGCCAAGGTCTTTTCCCCAGGGTACGGGAGTCAAAAACTAGAGGGCATAGGTTTAAGGTGAGAGGGGAAAGATTTAAAAGGGACCTGAGGGGCAACTTTTCACGCAGAGGGTGGTGCGTGTATGGAATGAGCTGCCAGAGGAAGTGGTGGAGGCTGGTACAGTTACAACATTTAAAAGGCATCTGGATGGGTATATGAATAGGAATGGTTTAGAGGGACATGGACCAAATGCTGGCAAATGGGACTAGACTAATTTGGGATACATGGTCGGCATGGACAATTGGGACCGAAGGGTCTGTTTCCATGCTGTACATCTCTACAACTTTGTGAAATATCAAGGCCAGAGGTGCTAGGACAGCATCAGCGACTACAATATGCTACCCTCCTAACGCTGTTTTAGGCCAGCAAATGTAACTCCGCAGTCCATCAGCGAAGGGAAGAAGAGAGAGAGGGGTCATTCATAACTTCTGTGAAAGTGTTTTAAGAAAAAAAGACATGCTTTATACCCAACAGTCCCTTAATGACAAATGTTCAACTTACGAATGCTCACACTTACTTATACAGCTTTCAGGGACGTTATCATCATGACCTGACTCATCAACAGTTCCCTTACATAGGGACGGCTGCTTTACATTGTACTGCACTGTGTCCTGACTTGTGTACAAATCAACTTGCACCCGACTGTAACCCAGGAACTGCCTGTCGCGCCTCTCAAGGGAACATGATATGTCGAAGTGCTTTATAAACCATTAAGTATTTTTGATGTTTATTTTCATTGTTATAGGCAACCTGCACACAGCAAGCAAATTAAATCAATGCCCTATGTGTTTTGTGATGTGGATTGGGTTATATTCCAGAGAGCCGTTATTGAACAATAGTACTGGAGTTAATTACTCAGAGTGACATCTATTTGCGATGTGAAATATTACATGTACCTCCTGACTCCGGTTTCAATGAGTGTCTCTTTGTATCCGAAACTTGAATTCATGCCCGTAAATAATTCAAACAATTGGGGTGTAGTTAAGAGGAAGGAAAAATGTTGGCCAGGACACTGAAATTTGCTGTCCAGCTCTTCTCAGTAATATTGCAAACAGAGTCTTCTACATCCCCCTGAGGTGGCAAACTGGCTCTGACTCATTCAAAAGACAGCACTTCTGGCAGTGTTGCACTCAGTAATGCACTGGGTGCATCAACCAGGTTCATGCCTCTGGACTGGGCCTTTGAAATCACAATCTCCTTCTATAGAAAAGTACGTACTGCCTTCTGAGCCACGAAGGCAGAATTCTACTTGAGCTGTAAAACACTTTGTAAGGTCCTCAGCTGCAAGTCCTCCTTTCGTGCCAATTCACAATCACTCATGCAACTCCCATCAGCTTTGCTTTTAGGCTTTAGGAACCGGAACGGGCTCCTTGATTAGGCAGCCCTTGATGTCTCTGAATGAACGATTGAAGAAAAGAAGTCTATAATTGAGCAAAAGAGCAAGGGAAAGGCTCGTGTAAAAAACTTACTGTCGAAGATGATCCCAATCATTTAATGAGCAACAGTCTGTGCTCTCTCCTAGTTCTCGTTTTAAGTGGTCCAGCCTGCATGGATAGAAGGAGGGATACATCAAGCTCATGACCAATCAGTTACCGATACCAACAACAACTGCTTTCTCCATCACCATTCATGTTCTGTTGAAGGGTCACCAGACTCCATAAAACCATAAGACAAAGGAGCAGAAATTAGGCCATTTGGCCCATTGAATCTGCTCCCCCATTCAATCATGGCTGATAAGTTCCTCAACCCCATTCTCCTGCTTTCTCCCCGTAACCCTTGATCCCTTTGATAATCAAGAACCTATCTATCTCAGTCTTAAATGTACTCAATGACCTGGCCTCCACAGCCTTCTGCAGCAGTGAATTCCATAGATTCACCACTCTCTGACTGAAGAAGTTTCTCCTTATCTCCATTTTAAAAGGTCTTCCCTTTACTCTAAGGCTGTGCCCTCAGGTCCTAGACTCTCCTACCAATGGAAGCATCTTCCCAACATCCACTCCGTCCAGGCCATTCGTTATTTTGAAAGTTTCAATTAGATCCCCCTCATCCTTCTAAACTCCAATGAGTATAGTCCCAGAGTCCTCAAACGTTCCTCTTATGTTCAGCTTTCCATTCCTGGGAACATTCTCGTGAATTTCCTCTGAACCCGCTCCAGGGCCAGTACATCCTTCCTGAGATATGGGGCCCAAAACTGTACACAATACTCCAAAAGTGGCTTGACCAAAGCCTTATAAAGCCTCAGTAGTACATCCCTGCTTTTATATTCAAGTCCTCTCAAAATAAATGCCAACATTGCATTTGCCTTCCTGACTACTGTCTCAACCTGCAAGTTTACCTTGAGAGAATCCTGGACTAGAACTCCCAAATCGCTTTGCACTTCAGACTTCTGAATTTTCTCCCCATTTAGAAAACAGTCCACTTGACTTTCTTCCCATAGGTACTGCCAGACCTGCAGAGTTTTTCCATCAATTTAGTTTCATACAGTCATAGAAATTTACAGTCTGGAAACAGACCCTTCAGCCCAACTCGTCCATGTTGACCAGGTATCCTAAATTAATCTAGTCCCATTTTCCAGCACATGGCACATATCCCTCTAAACCCTTCCTATTCATATACCCATCCAGATGCCTTTTAAATGTTGTAATTGTACCCGCCTCCACCACTTCCTCAGGCAGTTCATTCCATACACGCACCACCCTCTGTGTGAAAACGTTGCTCCTTCGGTCCCTTTTAAATCTTTCCCCTCTCACCTTAAACCTATGCCCTCTAGCTTTTGACTCTCCTACCCGAGGAAAAAGATCTTGACTATTCATCCTAACTATGCCCCTCATTATTTTATAAACCTCTAATAAGGTCACCCCTCAGCCTCCGATGCTCCAGGAAAAATAGCCCCAGCCTATCTAGCCTCTCCCTGTAGCTCAAACCCTGTAATCCTGGCAAGATCATTGTAAATCTTTTCTGAACCCTTTTGAGTTTCACAACATCTTTCCTATCAGGGGTAGACCAGGGCTGAATGCAGTATTCCAGAAGTAGCCTGACCAATGTCCTGTACAGCTGCAACATGATCTCCCAACTCCTATACTCAATGCACTGACCATTAAAGGCAAGCGTACCAAATGCCTTCTTCACGTCCTGTCAACATGCAACATCATTTTCAAGGAACTATGAACCTGCACTGCAAAACATTGGTCAGCAACACTCCCCAGGACCTTACCATTAAGTGTATAAGTCCTGCCCTGATTTGCCTTTCCAAAATGCAGCAGCACCTCACACTTATCTAAATTAAACTCCATCTGCCACTCCTTGGCCTATATCCCCATCTGATCAAGGTCTGCTTTTTGCTTTTGTTTCAGATCTCCAGCATCTGCAGTTTTTTGTTTCATTTCTTGATTTCTTTATATAGTGGCTTTAATGCAAAGAACCCTACCAAAGTGCATCGATGGGCAGGCTATGACACAGAATATGACACCAAAAGGAGATCAGAGGTCAGACGACCAGAAGCTTGGTCAAAGAGGCAGATTGTCTAAAATGAAGAAAACGAGGACGACAGGCAGAGAACTTTAGGAATGGAACTTCAGGAAGTAGCGTCCAGGGAATGAAAGCCCCCACCACCAGAGGTGGAGAAATTAAAACTGAAAACAAGAAACGAGTGTTGGAGCATCGCCCATGTCTCGGTGGGTTAGAGGAGATGACAGAGAGGCGAGGTCAAGGATGGAACTGAAAGCAAGGCTTGGATATTCCCATCCAAGTCCCTGCTAGAATGGGAGCCACTGCTGATCCAGCAGTGAGAGATACAATACCACTGCTTATATCGATTGGTGTATTAACATGGCACTGTCCAGCAGCACAGTCCTGGGCACTGATTCAAATCCCACTACATATAGGATTCTTAAAGGGCTTGACATTGTAAATGCTGAGAGGATGTTTCCCTTGTGAGGACCATCGAAAACCAGAGAGCATAATCTCAGACTAGAGGGGGTACCAATTTAAGAATGAGACGAGGAGGAATTCCTTCTCTCAGAGGGTCGTGAGTCTTTGGAACTCCTTACCACAGAGAGCTGTGGGGGCAGAGTCCTTGTGTATATTTACTAATTATAATATATACGAAATAGATTCTTGATGAGTCGGGGAGATCAAGAGCTATGCGGAAAGGGCAGGAGAGCGGACGTAAGGAATGTCAGATCAGCCACGATCCTATGGAATGGCGGGGGAGGCTCAAAAGGGCCGAATGGACAACTCTCGTTCCAATTTCGTTCGGTCGTATTACACGGGACTGAAATGGGCCAGGCAACAATTTTAAGTAGTGGAACACTGTACGGGGCCTACAAGCTGGACAGTCCACCCCACGTACGAAGCATCAGTATTGCGTGGAACAACTTGAGATATATGGCACAGTGTCAGGCCATTCAGCCCGACCAGATTAAAACAAAAAACAGCTGAAAAGTACTGGTGAAAGTACTGACAGCATCTGTGGAGAGACCAACAGAGTCAATGCTTCACACAATTGTGACAGCACAGTGTCTGCAATTTCTGCTCCTCTGATGCTGCTTGGCCTGCTGTGTTCATCCAGCTCTGCACCTTGTTGTCTCGGATTGTCCAGCATCTGCAGTTCCTACTATCTCTCGCTCTCCAAATCCTGTTTCTTTCTTCGAGCCATTCTCCTTCCTTTCCCACTGACCCTGGCAAATTGTTTTCAGTTCAAACACGGCCCCCTTTCAATGCCTCAACTGGAGGTGTTATGCACTCCATCCCCTGGAGTGCCACTACTTGTGGAAGGCCTCACTCGCACTGGTCGACAGCATATACTCCCAGTCCAGAACTTCGGAAGAGATCCAACATCCTGCTCCACAGCTCACTGCCTGGATGTATGAATGGCCTGGCCTACCCGAGCTCAAGCCCAGGAGCACTACGTGCAACCAATCCCCGATGGTTGAAAGGGAGAATCCCTGCACCGAGAGCCTCCCGCCTGGCGGGGGCGCCTCTGGGCAGTAAGATGGAATGGAAAGTTAGAACTGGATAGATGGCAGGTGAAAAAATTCTCAAAGTACTTAATCAATTAATGCCCTCTGTCTTAACACGGTGGCTCAGTGGTTAGCACTGCTGCTTCACAGCGAGGGTTCGATTCCGCCCTCGGGTGACTGTCTGTGTGGAGTTTGCACATTCTCCCCGTGTCTGCGTGGGTTTCCTCAGGGTGCTCCGGTTTCCTCCCACAGTCCAAAGATGTCCAGGTTAGGTGCATTGGCCATGCTAAATTGCTCCCATAGTGTCCAGGGATGTGCAGGCTGGATGGGTTAGCGTGGAAAATGCAGGAGAATGGGTCTGGGCAGGCTGCTCCTCTTCGGAGGGGCGGTGTGGGGATGTTGGGCCGAATGGCCTGTTCCCATAATGTGGGGATTCTATGATTAACAATGCAGTTAACACACTATTAATGTCACTGACAAACGAAAAGACAGAACGCACCAGTATTCTCGCTCCATCCTGTTTGCTGGTCCTCACCCCTTTCACCAGTCCATCCTGCAGGTGAGACACAGTCGTACCCAACAACAATGGGTGAAGATCCACGGGCAGAGTGGGTGCCGAGTTCGGGCTCAATAATTAGGGGGTGTCCTCATTTTTCTTTCGTTCATTCATTCATAGGACATGAATGGTAGGCCTCAAGCCTTTCATGGCCAGGGGTCAGAGTCTATCACTGACTCTGCAGAATGTCATTTTAATTTAAATTTCAGTCTCCTTTCAAAGCTGGAGGTGGTTGCAAAGTCTCTGTGAGGGCTAATTTCGCAGTTAATAGCCTCATTCGTTGTAAGGTTCCTCAAAAGTGCATGAAAAGACTTGCCCGACTTTCTGAAGAAGGGTCCAGACTCGAAACGTCAGCTTTCCTGCTACTCTGATGCTGCCTGGCCTGCTGTGTTCCTCCAGCTCTACACCTTGTTATCTATTCCTACCTCCTGTTGTTTTGGCTTAAGCCCACACCCAGGGTGCTCCTGGACAGGAAACAAGATTTACGGCTGGGCCTGTCCCTAAGCCGTCCTTGAGGAGGCGGTGGTGAGCTGCCTTCTTGAGCCGCTGCGATCCACGTTTTTGACGGGGAGGGAGTTCCAGGATGTTAACCTGGGTAATACAAGCCCTCATTCTGCCCAGAGCTGCTGCAGGAAGGTTAGTGTCGGTGATGAAGGTGGCGCCTTTTAGGGTACCAAAGAGACGGAGGGAACCAAAGGTGGGTGAGACTATTCGTCATTCATCCAAGTGCACCATATGAGTTTGTTCGTGACACCATTTCCAAAACCAGTCAGACCAGCGCCAACTACCAGCAATATTTTCCTTAACCAGCGGGAACAGCTTAAACAGTTAAATAAGCGTTACTTCCTGATAGTTAAGGAACTCCAGGCCGACATTAACATCAACAGGCAAATGCCTAAAGCATAAACGTTTTGCAAAGCAATCTGACTGGTCTTGTGGGCACAGAAATATCAGTTAGTACAAAGCTGGAGAAACTCAGCACATATCTGCCGAGGGAGAAACAGAGTTAACGTTTCGATCTGACACT